TACAAGCTTTTGCACTAACAGCTGCTTAGCTGAGAAGAATCTGTCCTGCAGTGGCCAATATTTAACCCATGAAAACAGTTCCTTAAGCAATACATGCACAGCACAAATTATTGCAGGACCACTGAGACAGCTGCATGCTTCTATGCAATAATCCCATGTTGCCAATGCTCAGATCTGTGCTGGTGAAGTGCTTCAGGATAACCTTGTTGTGAAGGGCTTTGCAACACCTAAATTTTCACTGTGTTTATGGTTTTCTGAAACCCAGCTGCCAGGACCATACCTGCTCCAGGCCAGAGACGTCATCAGGCAACAGCACCAACATGCTCAGCGCTCCGCTGGCGTATGGAAGCTCCAGGATCTTCATTTTCTCTGCAGCCATCGCGGCCACTTTAAATGAACCAAACTGATACATCATCTGCACAGGTTTGCTTTCTTGCTGCAAAACCAAATAAACTAATATAGTCTTCACAAAGATTATTTTTAGAGTGTAGTAATGCCTACTTATGGTTAAAACTACTGATTGTTCTTCTTCAGGAAGGCTGTATAACGACTTGTCTACTTTCTTTGTAAACTCTGGAAGATGACAACTTTAAGGTGATACATGCCCACATACCTCAGTCATTCTGAAAGGCACTGCCTGGGTGTCTTCATCCTTAAATGCTTTCTCCCACACTCCCTTGAAGTAAATAGCATTGACAAGGATCATTTCAGTCTGGGGATCCACAGAGCCCGGTTGAAGGATATTTTTGATCATTCCTTTAAGAATGAATAGGAAAAGAGAACACGTGTATAACATATCTGAGTATAACACATCTTACTTGGCAATCACAGTGTTAAATGAAGGGTATATAATTCGTGGGGAGGAAAATGTAGAGGCAGGGACATTGTTTTGGTTTTGCAGCTGTAATCTTGTACTTCCAAGGTGGATTTCCTCTCTGCTGTTGGAAGTAGCTGTTGTTTCCCTCTTTGTAAAGAATTATGATGAGAGTTATAAAATCCAGAGATTTACTTGTTGCAAAATGAGTAAACCTGTCTATTTTATGACAATGTGAAGAACCATTGGAACCTTTTATCCGAGGACGTTATCCAACCCAAATAGTAAACATAAATACTTCTTGCTTCAAACCAAAGTTGAAAGGAGATGTCTATGTAAGGAAGGAAAGGAAAACAGATTTTTACTCTGCTTTCTGCTTATACTTTGTTCCTGTTCATTCTGCAGCCCTCTTACATGTAGCAACCTCCTTCCTCAGTCCTTTCCCACCAATAGCTTAATTACAGCCTGGTTTTCTCCTTCAACTTAAGACACCACACCAGACATTGTGTGATTGTGAATAGTTTCACTTCAGTTAAAATTCAGCCTCTTTTATATGTGTTAGCTGCCTAGGCCATGTGTTTCAAGCATGAGGGAAAGGAATGTTTTGAGGGGGCCAAGAAGAGACTGGAAGAATGGAAGAACGACATGGACATGCAGTAGGGTAAAAATCTCAGTTGTGGTATACCTCTTTCTATGCATTTCATACACCTCTCTACCATTCCTTAACTCTGGTTTTCTACTGCCCTGTACCTGTTAAGATTTCTCAAGTGCCTTCTGACTGCATGCCCTACTTCACAGGCACACAACAACTCCGGGAAGCTTGAGGGTAAAGCACTCTGATCAAAGAATGCCCAGGTTCTCAACATTAGCGTCAAACCACTTGTCACTGTGTACAAAGCATATTCTAGTGCTCTCCTTTCCATCAGGACTGGAAATATTACATACCCACAAAGCTCCTACAGACACAGAGTCCTCTAAAAGGGATATGACTGAGGAAAAAAGAAAATTGTTAAATGATAGTTCCATATCTGGGAACGTACCTGTTATTCAGAAGCAGGAGAGAGGGAGAGGTTTGGGTTATTTTTCTCTCCTGACTTAAGTGTTCTTGTATGCTGTTCAAACGTGGTGGCAGAAGGGGAAATACCTAATGCCAATACTTGGCTTGCTCTTACCATTTGTCTGACTTTCAACCCAGGAATTGATGAGCTCTCTGGCTTGATCTGCAGCTGTTTGAAAGCTGATCATTTCCAAGCCTCCTTTATACAGTTCCTTCACACATTGTAAGTATTCCTGCAAAGGCAACCCATGCAGTTTGCAGATCAGAAGGTCAAAATATTTTGCAAATGTGAAATGTAAGACTGAAATTAACAGATAGGAATAATCTGCTTACTAAGACTAAACAGTAAAACTTTATTCTAGTTCATAAGCACCTTAAGACTTGGTGTTTGTTGCTAAAAAAAAAAAAATATTTTCCAGAACTGAGTTTGATCCAAAAATGGCATTCATCTCATTTAAAATATGGTGGGGTTTTTTTCTATTTTGCCCACTTTTTAACTTTTTATTTTGCAATAGTATTTTCATTTAATTTCAAATCAAGTGTTCCTTTCAATTGGAAAACTTGGAATATTTTTGAGAGCCTGAAGTTATTTTTCAAACTCGTTTTACAAGTTGAGAAAATGGTTGGAGTTAAATCTTTCCAGCAAAAGTTACCCTTATTAATTATACTTCAACATGGCTGGATCATGAGTGTACTTTGCACAGACGTCTTTTTGACTAAGCGCATTTTCTCTCAAGACTGCAGAGGGTTAGGGCTGTGATAGAAAAGTTGTGAATCCTGTCTTCCATATGGAATAAAATTCCCTTAGCAGAACCGAAGCTTCTAACAACGCTTTTGCATTACGGAGTGGTACAGCCTTGACATGGAAATACACTTCGATCAGATCGTAGAGCAACTCACCGGGATGATTGGGTATGTCTCGTCAGCGTAAAGTCTACTGGCAAAGCCGACTGAATAATTTTCGCTTGGTTTGGTGATCTGGGTGAACATGTCTTTAAGTGAAGTGTGGACGCTTACAGATGTGCCGCACTGAATCATTGGCGTGAATACAAATAAAAAGACAGATGATGTTATGCTAGTTTTAGTACTTAATAGGGTTTTCATACTACATGAGAAAAGTAAAATAGTTAAGACACTTCTGCTTACAAAATTGTTAGACCTGTATGTCTTGTTGCTCTAACTACACTGATGTAGTGATTTGCTAGTATACACAATTTTGTGCTGGTTTTCTACTGTAATTTCCTTATAACTCTCTCTGAGGGACTCTTAATTACCTGTTCCAGCAGATTAGGCAGGCTTTCCTCCATTCCCAACCAGTCCCATTTAACCAGTAACATCCAGCTGCCTTGCCTAAGCATACAAATATCTATGATTTTACCTATTTGCTCAGTATTTTGGTGCTGAGTTTCATCTTCTGCTTATTCTGATTCTTCTGTTACCTCTTTTCTGTCTCTATTCTCATTAACAAGATGTTCCTTCAATTCTTGGATGCAGAGAACTAGCCACTTATAAGAGAGGGGTTGGAACTGCTAGGAGACTGCATTATCTGCTAGGTTTTGCTCCCAGGAGAAAGTGAAATAGAGAAAATGAAATTGTTTCTGTACCTGGGCTTCAATGGTCTCTCCAGATCCTGTGATTTTATCAAAGTGAACCACCTGTAATTGAAAATAATGGTAGTTAAAATAACAGGTACGATAAAAAAAGTTTATGCAACTGAGATAAGAACATGATGTTTGAAGTAGACCCCTTGGCTGAGAAGCTGGATAACTCAGAAGGTGCAATCCATCTGTACCATCTGTGTGCAGCGTTGTCTGCTTGGACGATGGCTGTTTCTATGGGACGTCTAGAAAACAGCTCCAGTGTGTGCTGTTAATAATACTAACTTTTTTCCAGGTAACAAGCCAGCCACTCTATGAGGGAAGTGAGAGCTGTAGGAAACCCATGTGAAACATTTTGCAGACTCAAGATAGGTTTTTGCTATTTCCCTGGAGTTTTTATGTACTTTCCTTACTCTAAACAAAGGACTACTGGAATGTGTTGTTGTCTTTGAGAATCCTAGTGCTAACAATGATAAAATTTAAATCCAGTTTCAACATTTCTGGCTGATGCATTTGTTTAACACTATGGGAGTTTGAGGTGGCCCAGCTTTTGGTAACGGTATCCAGATATTTTAGCCTCTGAGCTATGCAAGGAATCATCACATAATATCACATAATCAACAAATTATATGATGGTATCAAATCCCAGAATTAAGTTGAGTAACAGGAAGGTTTAAATCCTTAACTGCAGCCTCACCTTATCTATCTGAGCCCTGGTGTTTTCTCTTGCTCCCAGATAGACCATGGACAGGGCTGAAATGATGCTCAGGGGGGAGTAGAAGATGTTTTCGTTGACATGCTGGACTTTCAGCTCCTTGAATACATCAAAACAAAATTCTGTGCTCACTGCACCGATGGAGCCCATTGTGAAACCAGGGTTGTCTAGAGTAAACAGCAGAAGTATAATGACAGTGTGATAACAGAGTTTTTAGGCAATGAAATAAAAAATAGTTTTGAAGTCATTCTGTGGTAACATAGCTATTGCTATGCCCACCTGTCGTGCATGTTCAGTAACTCTATATTCATAAACCTATTTATTCCTCATTTGTATTCAGTTGCCTTTTTGGTAATAAAGTTGCTCAGAGGTCTTTCATCTATATGTGATTTCTGTTTGCCTTTTCAAAGCAGTCAGACGACAACTGCTTGTACTTATTTTCATTCAGTGAAGGCTAGAATTCCTCAGTACACACATTTTTATCTTGTGTAGTGTTCAGCAGCTGTGCTCCAGGGATACAACTGTTAGAGGAATTGCACACAAAAATACACCTAGCAAATTCACTGAGTACCACAGTTTTGCTCCCAGTGCACTCTGTTGAACCGGAGGTCAGGCAGGCAAACTTATTCTTTTGTTGCCAAATTCAGACTTAAAAGATACTGAATGAGAGGATAAGCTGCTCTGAAAATAATAATATTGTAAACACAAAGAATAAACTTGTAAAAGTCTCCTGTAAGCACATGCTCAGGTCTTACACATAACAAAACAGCGTAGAAGTCATACACACAGGTGAGAAGCTTTTGTAGAGAATATCATGTAAATATTCCATCCTTAAAGACACCAGACATAACACAATAATTGCTCTTTTTTTTAAGTTTGGGCATAAGAAACAAATAATAGAGAGAGAAGGTAAATTTTCCTAGAGAAATGCTTACCTTTTGAGCTTCAGCACCAAAGGCAATACAGCTTTCCAGCTGTACGTGGACAGACTGGCTGAGCCCTTGTGAATTTATACAGTCTGGATGGTGACCCACCTGCTGCTGCCCTTCAGAAGTTTGACCTTTGACACCATAAAAATAATTTAATGGGATTAGGTCAGATTTTAATTTCAATGGACCCTTTTCTTTTATTGAAGGGAAAGCAAATATTAGGTTTTTATTCTGTATAACAAAGTGTTTTCCACCAGTACATCGGGACTGTTGAATCGGGAGAAATGATTGGGAAATAGTGCTCATTTTCCTTTAAGACTCATTTGCAACTAGATACTGGGATGTTAATAAAACCAAAAAATATTAAAAACTCAGTGATGGGAAACGTAATTAGCAGTTATTAGTCAATCTGTCAATAATTAGTCAATTTGTATTCAACTCTCTTTCAGCTGATCCTGAATGCACAACATGCAGCTGAGTCATGCGAGACAGAAGGTAAGGGAGAACAGGACTTGGCCTATTATTCTACTACAAAACTGGGGAAATAAAGCAGGGGATGTGTGAGAAACAAATTGAGAGGAAATTCAAAGGCAGACACATTTTCTTTAAAAAATTTGGATATTTAGAAAAGATCTTTTGATGGGTGTGAAGGTTTTATTAGCAAACTATTTTATTCTCAGGGAGTAATAGAAAAACATAGCCCCAGACAAAGTAAAAAGTAGTTAATTCCAAATGTGTTTGTGTTACGAACTTGCAATGTATCTCTCAGATCTTCCATGGGTAACTTAATGGCCTGGCAGATGATAGAGGAACAGTGAAATCCAGCTAAAGGAGTGTTCATGGTCTATGGGACAATCATAATATACAATAGCAAACGTATTTCAGTTATAAAAGCTATTGTCATGTGTTGAAATAATGGAATGGACAAACAGTAAAGAAATATTCTGACCTCGGTAAAGCACTATGTGATTTTGAAAAAGGGGGGAGGGGGGGAAATCCCGAAGTCAGTACCACGTAATTCTTTAGAATCTATATGGAGGTGACTGTGATCTCTGTTAAGGAGAAGAGGTAGCATCCTGTACTGCTATCAACAGTTTAGAGAGTGCAGTTCTATGTCTCAGTCTGCTCCCTTTTGTGTAAATAAATGTGCCATTGACACCTACATTCTCGTTGAGTTGTTGTTGCCAAGGCAGCTGGAGTACTTAATCAAGGCAAGATTGTAGCAAAGGTGTTATTTTTTGGTTAGATCTCTTACATTCTCCTTGTCCAGTTGTTGTTGCCAGGGCAGCTGGAGTACTTAATCAAGGCAAGATTGTAGCAAAGGTGTTATTTTTTGGTTAGATCTCTACTCCACAGGTATCAGCCAAGTGTTTTTTATTTTTTTGGTCTGGTTTGGTTTGTTATCCCCACGGACAGTCTGACAGATACGTATCTATGCTTAAGCACAGAGCAATTTTTCTCACTTTTTTTGGTCAGGCCTACTGCTTCTATTTCAGCCCTAGGAAAGCCTAAATGTTTGTCTGCTCTTTCTGATGATAGAAATGCTTCTCAGAAAATATTATCCCTACGTATAAAATAGGTATATTATGATAATGAACAAAGGGAAGGGAGAATGAGTCTCCCTAAGTGCATTGTTAATAAAAAATCTCCACTGTCAATCAAACACCAGTAACCAGTTATGTAGAGCTATCCTAATTTTAGCTCTTTGTATCTCTTTGCTAGTATACAGAACGATGTACACCGGGCAGTCCTACCACACTGAAACATCCTGATGAATAACAGGGAAAAGAAGGATAGTTTTTCCTCTCACCGAGGCAAGGAACGGTTTACCAGTCTGGAGAAGACATCCAGCATCAAAGGGCTTTTACCAAATACTTTAAAGTGCCACGATAGTGCTACCATAGCTGAGAAGAATGGCCAAAGAGCTCCTTGAGAGGGAAGCAGCAAGGAGGCAGTTTTAATAGGAAGATCTCCATCTTTCTGGAGGCCTGGTCTGAGCGCATGTCTCGTGGATACACCCAGGGGACTGGACAGCTCAGGTAGTACCTCAGCTCCTAGCTCACGCTCCACTGTGTTCAAAGGGAGAGGAGCTGTAAGGGCTAGCAAGCCCTGTGAAACTAGGAGGACATGGTGCTTTCTTAGTGAAAACTCTCTAGGTGAAGCTTTATCCTTGGCTGAGTTGTCAGGTGGAAGATTCCTGAATAACTTCTGTCGTTAATGAGAGTCTCTGCTACAGAAAAGGGACAAGTTATCCACTATGGCCAAAACTGTTAGCCATTCTGCCTGAGCAGACGCCAGGTCAGGTAAGTAAGGGCAAGGTGTTTCCAAAGTAACCCTGGAATATGGTATTACACTTTTTTTCTTTTTTATTTCCTTAAATTACTTGCATTTTTATGAATATTGTTTGGTGTGTTGCCTCTTTTGGATGTTATGAAAGCTTTGATTAACACTTCACCATAACCTCTCTTAAGAGTGGTGAGGAACAACAGGTTGTTTCTCACCCAACTGTTTGATGTACCAGTGAGCCAGGGCACTGAACACTTGAACAAGTACCCTCCTCTGTGTCCACCGGCAGAGTGGGTCCCCCTTGCACTTGTGTAGCTCAGGAGGTTCAGTGGTACCACAGATGTGAGGAGAGGTAGGAGTGCTTTCCAGTACTGGGTGGCCAGAAGAATATCTGGCATATAATAAAATACTGGGAGGTGTGCCTGGACCCTGAGAGTCACAGGGATTGTATCACACCTTGCTTTGCTTTTAAGCTTCATGTCAGAAAACGATGGCTGTCAGGAGTCCTTCAAAGCTGAAGATGAAACGGCTGAAGAGGGCACGCCAAAATGGGGAGATGTGTCTCCACCTACTAAGCTGTTTTCTCACACTGTTCATAGAGAACCTCAGATCTGTGCCACTAATTTTCACTCTTTATCCCTATTTTGTTCAGGGCCACTTTGTGTTCACAGGGGTTTATTTATATTTCTACCACACTGGTCTTCCATGCCTGCATATAAGACTTGCCCAGTACATTTAATTCAGCCAAATCTGCCTTCCAAATGTCTCTCAAGACTCCTAAACAACCATGCTTCCCTTAATCTGATCTATCATACATGAATTACGTAAGTGTCCAGACCTGTGTCACAGGACCAGCTCATCACAAACTCCCTGTATTTAGGACCTACAAACATATCCAGGAAGCCGCTGCAGTTTTGTCAGTGATCCTTTTTTTTTTCATACCATCACACTGCAAGTATAGAATAAAAATTATCCCAGAGGTAATTTTTATAGCTGGTGAATTTGACTTCTGTGTAGTGTCCCGATTCCAGACCTGCACAAGAGTTTTGCATGCGTTTGACCTGCAGAGCTTTGTTTCATGAGTTACACAAAAGCCATGTTTTCTCTCCAGGAATTGTCTGGTGGTTCAAAACTCATCCAAAATAAGCAAATACATGGAGGATAAGAAGCTGTGCTTTGATAGTGGATGAGAAAGACTTGCTGCACTCCTTCCTAGAGGCGTCTTTTGGTTTTCTGTGCTCAAACTCATAGTTAATTCAAGGCCAGTTGCCAGCAACAGAATCTACTCATGATCAAATGAAAATCTTGATCAGAACTGACTGACAGCACAGTGTCAGCACACAAATCATCTTGCATAGTCTGCTTGATATAGGGCCTAGAGAGAGTAAGCAAACCTTCCTGAAGTTGGAAGGCTCCCTTGGACAACTAGCAATGGATTGCCTTGTCCAGCACAGCTGTGCAAAGTAGTACAAACAGTTCTGTCACACATCCTTGTCGGACAATGCTTGTCCCAAGAAAGAGGTCAGATAAGGCTCTGCTGCCCTTTCCTCTGCCGGGCATTGCATTGTGGAGCTGTCCCTACACCAACAGACTCTTGAGTACCTAAGCCCTGGACACCTGAGAGTATAAAAGGCACTTTTTATCCAAAAGGATATGAAGTCCAGGTCAGCTCACAGACCAAAGCCAATCACAAAAATTTACAAAGAACTCAAGATGTTGTTGTCCTCGTTGTTCATGCTCTTTTGCCAGTAGGCATGTTAATTATTTTGTGTTTGCCTTCATTCCACATTGTGAATCTGGAAGCTGCCTTTCTATGAGAGACAGAAGCAACCATTCACAGAGAGAGAAGTCGTTTTACCCAGAGCGATTGCAGCTGACTGTCTAAGTGGTTGTTATTGCAGACCTTGGTGCTGTAGCTCTCAATTATGGTTTCTGTCTCAGTTGTTCTGTGAGACTGTGATATTTTCCCAGGCCAAAGAAACTGAGGTGTCTGGTCAAGACCCTTAAAACAGGAACTTGCACCCCACCTGCAGATCTTTCTGCATCAGTGTTGTGACATTCTGAAAAAACTGACATTGTTCCCTGCAGTGCTGCCTTGATTGTTCACAGACTATGACAGGGGCATTTGTCATTGCTCATGATTGTCACTGGGATATCCCATATCAGGTCTAACATTCATTTTAACCTGACAGCCTTCATTGTACAGCCGATGATTTCTTAATGCTCCCCCATGAATATTTGATCTGAAATATGTTGATGTGGCCTTCATGGCGCAACTTTGAGTGATCACAACTCACAGGCCAGCCACAGGCTGGATGGGAGTATCTGACGCAGAACCTTAAGCTCTTCCTCATTGCGACTGAATGAGTTGTAGCCTCACCTACATGCAAAGTCTTTCACTTATTCCCACACATGCCACATGTCCTGCTGCTGAAGCAATGTACAGGCTGTCTCAGATGATGAAGGTGCCTTCATTCTGACAGCTCAAATACAAAAAGAAAGTGCACAAGAGGTGGAGGCAAGGACAATCCACCTGGCAGGAGTACAGAAGCATGCCATGATGGAATTTGAAAAGCAAAAATTCTGCTAGAGGGAAAAATGACAAGGGATGTGAAGGGCAGCAAGAAAAGCTCCTTTAGGTAGAACAGCAAAAAGAAGACTCAAGAAAAGTCAGTATGATTGGGGAAGGTTCCTGATGATTTGAAAAAAAGTGACTTATTTTCAGAAAGGGGAGGAGAATTCAGGAGCCTACAGGTCTC